TGACCATGTCTACATGCCTAAATGCACTGAGTTGCCGCCATGTGATTGGCTGCTTAGAAATTAAGTGTTAACGAGCAGTTGGACAGGCGTACCTAGTAAAGTGGCCGGTGAGTGTATATATATGTCCCAAGTTGATGGTAAGAATTGTATGTGTTTTTTGTGTTAGTCCTACTGGTTTGATTTAAAAAAATCCTTTCAACTAAGATAATCTGGATAAAGCTTGAAAAGGTCAAGGTATGTGTTGACAGAAGAAATAAATCACATTGGGGGAAAGAACATGAAGATTTGGTGCATTCTGACATATCGGTGTCCCGTTTAACTTCATAAACATTCTGACATCAAAATCAACATTGTTGAATGATTTTTAGAGGAACCCATTATAATTCTTGTGTCATTGTCTTCCAAAGGATGCTATGGTAAAATGAAATGCTTCAGTGTTAGAAGGAAGACAGGATTCAGGAAACATGTAAAAAAAATTCTAAAAGTAAACAGTCTGTAAGAATATATACAATTAAATATCTGGTTTGAAATGATAAATGAAAATCATTATTGTAGGAGTAAGCTGACCATGTTGACAGCATAAATACCAGTTCTCATTAGCACATCTACCTTTTCTTGTTTCAGTCTTCCTTTAGGGGTCTCCACATCTGCTCTTCATCTTCTCGCCTCTGGTCCATGTTCAAGATCCTTTGTCCAGTTTGTTAAAGGAATGTTATAAAGTCCCCCTCACACATAATTAAGATTACTTTATCCTGTAAAAAAAAAAGCCCTAATCATAATTACCACACTCACCATGCTGCAACTATTAAATCACACCTCCCATTCAAAAACATTTTTATTCACATTTTAACTGCTTAAGCAGAACTCAGAGATAAGAGAAGAGTAGATCCAAATGAAACACATGTTTTCCAGAAACAAATTCTCACAAAACCCAGATATATTGGGAGTTTTGAAGTTTGCATGTAAATTGAAGAGCAACATGTGTGAGTTTGAGAGAGTCACAGACAGACTCATGAATGTGTCTTCAGACATCAGATCCTCAGAGTAATCGGAACATAAACGCACAAAAATCCTGACAGAATGACCGAGAGAGCACGGTAAGTGGCGCACCGTGCTCCAGAATCCAAAAAATACAGATCGGCAGTAAATGAAACTGATGGTATAGGTCCGGAAATGTCTCAGTTATACAAATAATCACCCAAATTGTGAAAACAACATGGAAACAACTGCAAATGCAGTTGTAATTTTCCCCACATAGTAGGGCTTAGGACATGTCATGTACAGAAACGTGTTTTGTGGTCATAGAGATCCTCTTAAGGATGTTACAAATCTAATTTCTATATTTGCTAAAGAGCAGCCACATAGTACTTGGTTGAGTAGAGTTGAGCAAAATCTTACCTTAGCATATCCACCCTAAAATATCTATTGATTGTGCATTTTCTTATTTACGCTTTATTTCTATTTAGATAATGTACTGGACAGGTCATTAAGGTATCTTAAGCATCATAAAAGTCTTC